GCGGCTTATATTCGAAATATTCGAAATCACACTTCATTAAAAAAAAAATTATATTCATAATTAGTAATACAGGGTGTAATACTCCTGAAATAATATTCCAAGAAAATTATTTTTTCTATAATTTCTGTCTGAAAATTGTGCTGCGGCCTATACACACACGCGGCCTATATATGCGTAAATATGGTATCTTCAACTATTCTCTAACACATATCATACGATTTAACTTTTCCAAGACAACATACACAATTAATACTTAATGGAGAGCTTGTATGCCTAGAAACTTCTGTAAATTCCACAATGGTAAGTTAGTAACATTCATTTTGCAACATGTGACTATCTTTTGTTTGCTTCTAATTTGTAACAAAATCATATCAACTGCAGCTCTAGTTAAATGAAAAATTGTATAATGACAATGGACAATGAGCTGGGATTCAGATGAAATGAAGCAACCATACTTTCATTTACTTAGAGATAAAAAGAGGCAAAGTTGTCCTTGCGTTCGAACACTATTCTATGTAAACATGTGTGGAAGTGGAAGTAACACAGGAAACAGGAGAAGTTAATAAGATGTGTATGTTCAGAAAGAATATACTTCATATGTAGTGTACCTTAGAAGGGAGTATGACTGAGGAAAGTTGGCATATGTTCAAACTTCAATGAAAACAGTCATCATTTATGTATCATAATCACTGAAATACCAGACTAGCACATATGTCTTTTCATTAGATGCTTGTATCAGCCCATATGTCCATATGATTACTTCTGCTTATACTCTGCATAATCTTCGTCCGTTCAATTTAACGTTATCTATAATATGTGATACAGATTGATAATGGAATTCTGATATTACAACAAAAAGAGTTCAACCTTCTGGGATGTGACACCATATAGTCCATCAAAAGTCAACTGACATTTTGGAGGAACATGTCACCTTCAGCTTAAGGGTCAAAGAATAAGCCAAGGAAGAAATCAGCATGAGAGCAGGTGGACTACATGGTATTATATCCCAGGTGACTGAACTCTCCATAACCACTGCTGTAAGAACTTCAAATCCTACATTTTGAAAAAAACATTCACATTTTTTCTCTTGCGCCATCATCAGTTTCCTTTCGTACATAATTTACTAAAATTCTAGGTGAGTTCATGCTCCATCCTCTCATTACTATAAGAATTTGTTGCCAAGAAGAAGTTGTCATTAAAAAAATATCTTCTAATCATGGGTGCTGCTGGGGGCGACAAGCAGCCTAGGGGAAAACTGAAAAGAGAAAGAAATACTCCTATTTATAAAACTTAAATCATTAAAAAAAATCTTTTCTCCCAAATAATGTTGTGTGGCCTACAAAAATATTCTTAAAAGTTTTAATTGTACATTTGTAAGTTAATTACCTGGGTGCCTACTCCTTTGGAAAAATCTTGGCAATATCCATGCTTGCATCATGCTTTAATCCCTTCATGATAAGTTTTTTGACCAATTTAAGACTAAAGAATAGTCACAGGTCATACACGAACATCTATAATGTAACAACTTAAATCTAACTAAACTTAAATATAAGTTCACCTAACTTACAATGACAAATAATGTTTATGTATATCTAGAACATGGACGGGGTTAAAGCAGAATTAAACATGTTGTTGTAAATTAAAAACCAATTTTGTATTTACAACAGAAATGTTAAGTGATACCAGCATTATTGTTGTGAACTAAACACCAAATTTTACATGAACAATGGAAATGTCAAACAGGTCCTTTCATGCTGACCCTTACATCCAATAAAAATTTGTAACAAAAGGAATATATTTTTCGAATTCTCATTACTGAATCTTAAATTGCATGCCATGCTGTGACAATACGGCCCTGCCCTAAAAGCTACACAGTAAACAGATATGTATTAAACAAATAAGTATAATGTTTATATAATGCATTAATTGGTGTTACTATAATTATAATAGGCTAGTTTAATCTGCATTATGTCAAACAATGTAATATTATAGATTTCAGATAAAACCACAAAGAGAGTGATGTGAAGTTAGAAATTAGAATATACAGAACTATAATTTTGCCTGTGGTTCTGTATGGGAGTGAAACTTGGTCTCTGACATTAAGGGAGGAACATAGACTGAGGGTGTTTAAGAACAGGGTGTTGAGGAGAATATTTGGATCAAAGAAAGATGAAGTGACAAGAGGTTGGAGAAAACTATGCAATGAGGAGCTTCATAACTTGTACTCTTCTCCAAGTATAATTAGAATGATCAAGTCAAGGAGGATGAGGTGGGCAGGGCATGTAGCACGAATGGGGAAGACTAGGAATGCATATAGGATATTGGTGGGGAAGCCAGAAGGAAAGAGACCACTGGGGAGACCAAAACGTAATTGGGTGGGCAATATTAAAATGGATCTTAGAAAGATAGGATGCGATGGTATGGATTGGATTGATCTGGCTCAGGATTGGAACCAGTGGAGAGCTCTTGTGAACACGGTAATGAACCTTCGGGTTCCGTAAAATGCTGGGGCTACAGAATTGGCGGCTCCTCAAGAGGGGCTCAGCTCCATGAGTAGTTAGGTAGGTAGGTAGGTAGGTACATCTTCCTTAGAGTCATCTGTATATATCCTCCTAGATTCTGAATGTTTGCAGTATGCTGTCTGGACAGCTGAGCTGTTTTCATTTGACAAGTTAGTCAACAAAAAAGCTCGTGTTCCTGTCTGTTCACATCACTTTGGTTCATAAGAAATTCATTTCTAATGCTCTCTACTTATTGTGTCTTGCATACACATACTGTATTTCTGTAGGGTATTTATCAATGGTATATTTCTTGTAAAATAAAGTACTATATATGAACAATAAATTGCAAAAAGTCACATGATGCAATAAACAATACTGCTTCTTTGAATTACAACAACTGAGAGCAGAATTTGCTTCAATTAAAGAAAGTCTTCTACAGAATATCAGATGTACTTTTCACATTTCTGCACACATTTATTTTGCAACGAAAACCTAGACAAGCATTCAAGTGAAAAGTTTAGCATTGCAAAAGTGCCTCTCTGATATGTTTCATATTTGTAAGTAGTACATCTCTTGGTAATTATAACGCATCACTATTTATTAAATATGGAGGATTTGTGGTACATTACACATTTTTCAGCATCAAATGGTTTTTATTACATTTGCATAATTTTAAAATAAATATTACTTTTTAAGTAAGCGCATATGAGTACTTGGAAAGCCATGCGCAACCCTCGCTCACTCATTCAGTCAGTTAAATTGCTGCTCGCCTTCTCCAGCACAGTCATTCCTGGCTTCAGTCACCTCGAGATCCATGACCAAGATTTCTGTTCTCTCCTACACATATATTTGTTATGAAAATGGGGCCATCTCTTCGATGAGGGAGGGGTCGGTGTTTCTATATAGGCGCTACGTTTGTTGCACCGTAGTTTCAGCACAACTACATCTGCACTGTCACGGTATCCAGGGTACTATGAACTCCCTGCACCCTTTGTTACTGCACTATACTATTTTTTTAATTGCTAGTGGGGTGGGACACTAAGTCACTTGTACTGCGGCCACTTTTGGCCTATTGTGCCAGCCCCAGATGATAGGTGAGGGTGATGGTGGAGCAATTTGTGGAATGAAGATTGGCAAGGAAAACCGAAGTACTCGGAGAAAACCTGCCCCAGCACCACTTTGTCGACCACAAATCCAACTTGACCAGACCCGGGATCGAACCCGGCCCGCCGCGGTGGGATGCCAGCGACTAACCTCTTGAGCTATGACGCGGACTTTGCACTATACTAAGTAACATTTATGCAAGATATACAGAGATTTTCTGCCAATGCAGGATTGTGCAGCAGGTTATGCGTTAACTTATTTAACTACAGTGAAACTGTAGTTAATCAGATGAACGGTCGTTGGCCTGACCGCCGCCAGATTTAAGCCCCTTATACTTCCTACGCCTGGCTTCTCCTTGTCCAATGCTACGAGCATTTGGATTTATATTATCACGATTTAGGGATGACTATAGACGCGGCATGGATTGGTGAATTGGACTTACTGACCATTTAGAGGTCGTAACTACAAATAACTATATCACTATTGCTGATATGCACTACTTCCAAAGCACTACAGCGCACGCTAAATCCTCCTTCTTTCATTAGTCGTATCCTGGTAACGGGTCTTAACAATGAAGATTCTTCAGATTCTGTGCTCACGTCGTTCCCCGCTGGTTAACACTTCACAAGGGAACTCGTTCGTTCAGACTCTCCTACTCATAACACCTCGGCTCGGACCACATAACGACATCCAGATTCTATCAGTAAGTCTATTCTTGTGTGCGTATTCGTTTCCGCGGGAACGTATTTACGGAGCCATTGCTCAGAAACGGATGTTTGTTTATTCGCCTATCTCGCCGTCCTTGCATAGCAACGGCCGTATACTGTACATTATGATGTAGGATTACTTTTGCCTCTGCCATGCATAATTTAGTTACTATAGGATTCTGACGATGGTGTATAACACACAGAGATATTGGGTTTTCGGACTTTATCCCTCGTCCTGGTTTTTAAGATAACTAAGAAAAACACGATGTTTCGGAAACTGGATCTGTTTCCGTCCACAGGCGAGGGAAAACACCTACTCTGTTGGGTCCCTTAGAAAGAGCTAGCCTCAATCACTGGATTGAAGGAATTTCGAAAGCCATAAGCAATTGGCGAACTGGTGTGCACTTGTCAAGATTCCCAATAGCGCGGAGTACTCTGTTCTGCAGGCGCTGGAATTTCAAGAAGTGAGGGTCTGTCGCATACTCCCAGGTGGGACAGGCGTAAGTCATAACTGCACTAAACAGAGCTTCGTAAAGGGTAAGTTTAATATTTGAAATTAAACCCCCACTTTTGAATAGAGAATAGGCCCTTATGTAGGTGTTCAAGGTCTTGGCTAGAGTCCTTTCGATGTGGTATCTATCTCATCCTCTTCCTGCTGAAAGTGACACCAAGTGTTACATTATTTACAAAGAGAATGTCTCGTCCGTTTAGTTGTAGTACGTCATCAGGGACTATAAGTCTTCTGGAGAAATAGATCGCTTGAGTTTTCCCTTCATTAATCTTTATGCTCCAACGCTCACACCGAAACCTCCCTGCAGTGAGGCCGCGTTGAAGTTTGCAGAAGACACAACGTTCATGTTCATCTGTCGCGTAAATACAGGTATCGTCCGCGAACAGAGCAAGATGAGTTCCAGGTGTCAGGGAGAATCACTTACACACAGACTGTAAAATAATGGGGCAAGGATGGAACCTTGAGGCACTCCTGCAGCTATTTTTCTTGGTGTAGAAAATTCGACATCTACCCAGACTTTGAAATTTTCTGTCAGTGAGAAAAGAAGCAATTAGCTTAAAAGACTTATCGAAAATTCTAATTCTGACAAGTTATATAGCAGGCCAGAGTGCCATCAAAGTTACTTTACAACTGGGGGTTTACCAAAAATCAGTTCGTCTTGGCGCCAAGGTCCTTGAGGATGAAGACCAGAGATTTTTTCAACTGAATCCTTGTGGTCGTGGTCGTTATGCTATATCTTCTCTGACAAGAGGATGGGTTTGTCTCTTTTGCATATGCTTGGCTTTTGTCAAGTGTGTTCATCACACATGTAGCATGTTATTGAAAATTCTTCCTTGTGCACTATATACAGTCCTCTGTCAGTACAGGCTTTGCAGANTCTACTGGTCCCTATCCTGAGAGATCAATCCAGTCTACACCACCTCATCCTATCTCTCTAAGATCCATTTTAATAGTATCCGCTCACCTATGTCTTGGTCTTCCTAGCGGTCTCTTGCNCTGTCAGTACAGGCTTTGCAGAGCAGCGCATGCCTATCTTATGTATCTTATGCAACAACAGCAGCTTAGTCACTTGAAAGGTCGTAAGCTTGACCACCGCAAAGTTTATTTAAATTTGGTGGTGGCACAGACCGCACAGAAAATATCGCTTCCAACAATTCCTCCATTGTTTTGTGTGTATCCGTTGCCGCGGTCACGTGACTTGGTTGCAGTGGAAACGTGTTTATAGAGCCATTGCCTAGCGACGGCGTTCTCTTCTGGCTCCATAATTCTGATTATGAGCCTATGTTAACAATATTTTTAGCTAGTTCTGTAACTGGAAAATAATAGTTCACACTGCTGATTTGGACAATAAAGCTGTATGAAATTCGAATGTAATTTGTTGTGCAATCAGAAAGGTGTCCAGTAATATCTGTTTTCCACATAATCGTACTCATATGGTATTAAGGAAACTGATAATCAGTATGAAAAAATTATAGATGTTTAAAAAAGTAATTATTGTAAACGTAATAAAAATAAATTAATGTGGATTTCGTAAGTAAGCCTAGCGCTATCTTGAATAACGCAATTTCCAATGGAATTTCATAATGAATCTGACGTGCTTGTGATTATTGCATGAGTCACCGAAGAAATGTTCATGTAAGATTGCCGTTTTAGTGTGCTGTGTTCGATCAAAATGTAGCCCGCTAACTTAATCCCGGAAAGGTAGGATCCTTATAGCTATTCTATAAATAAATCAGCTTCAAGGAATACGTATTTCTGAAACTCGTCAGAATTTGGCCAAAGATTACCACAAATTCCTCAAGAATTTCATGCTACATAAATGCTTAGGTTATCCGAAAGTGCCTCAGACAAAAGCTGCGATGCACGAAGAAATCCGAAGCCCAGTTGGTCCATGACCGGCAGAAGAACACAGCGCCCACCCACGTAGGTTAAAAATACGTTCCATTGGCGTAGAGCCACGTAGCTGCACCGCGACGTACGCTATTTAGTCAGCAAAATGAACAAGGAGGAGATAGACCGTCTGCTGGTGAGTACAACCAAACACTGATTCTGCATGTAGCAGAGAACACACAAATGTGGATTAAAATCTTTAGTTTTCAAGCTAAAAATTACTAAGACGTTACTCGTAAAATTTCTTTTGTTTACGTGGACTTCTCCAGCGGGTAGGCCTACTGTGCAGCACCTACTCATCTCAGGGGACTATTAAAATGTGTTACGAAGCTGAACTAATTAACTTAAAGGAGCTGAGTCCTTCAGAAGCCACCAGTCACGCAGCAACTCAGAAACTTCCCAGCATTTTATAGAACCCGAAGGCGCATTACAATGTTCACAAAAGCCCTCTACTGGTCCCTATCCTGAGAGATCAATCCAGTCTACACCACCTCATCCTATCTCTCTAAGATCCATTTTAATAGTATCCGCTCACCTATGTCTTGGTCTTCCTAGCGGTCTCTTGCCTTCTGGCTTTCCCACCAATATCCTACATGCATTTCTCTTCGCCCCCATTCGTACTACATGCCCTGCCCATCTCATCCTCCTTCACTTGATCATTCTAATTATACCTGGAGAAGAGTACAAGTTATGAAGCTCCTCATGATGCAGTTTTCTCCAGCCTCCTGTCACTTCATCTCTCGTCGGTTCAAACGATCTCCTCAGAGCCCTGTTCTCAAACACCCTCAGTCCACGTTCCTCCAATAATGTCTGTGACAAAAAATTCATACCCATACAGAACCACAGGTAAAATTATACTTTTTGTATATACTAATTTTTACGTTTTTAGACAGCAGACGAGAAGACAAAAGGTTCTGGACTGAATGGTAGTGAGCATTAAGCGAATTATATTAATCGATACACGTGGATACGTTTCAGACGACATCTTAACGAACTTACACATTTTGAAAGCTTCTCTCGGAATCCCGTGAACTACAATGGGATCCTTAAAGTAACTTGTTTCCACAACGCATCTACTGCTAACACCATTCCGACATGGTTTACGACGAAAAAAGATTATAGAAAGTTACATCGCTTTCCGTTTTGGTTGAGGTAGCGAGGGAAACCTGGTCTGACATGCATTTTCTTCTAGAGTGGAAGCAAGAGTTTGTCTCTTTCTGCTATGACACAGATGTAAGATCCATTCATATGGCGTTAGATTACAAATTACACAATCACATGACTTATAAAAGGGAACGTTCTAGGAAGAATTCTTGACGTGTAGGCACCTTTTTCCTTCAAGCCCAATGTTCACTTAACATATTCGCAATGTCATTATATTTTTAATTAATTTCAGCTTATATCAAAAGATCGCGTTTAAAAAGTTGTATATTTTCATCTGTAACATCAACATAACAGTTCTACGAACTTCTGAGTTGGTTACGACATTATTTCTACTGAATGTGCGCTTCTAAAATCACGTGTTCTCTATCTCAAAAAAAGTTTTAGAATCAAGTACTCAGCTCCACGTTTTTCGTACAAGTATTCTCGATCTATGTATATCCACGAGTTACAGTAGTTGAACAATTTTAGGGCCTGTCAGATCATTCGCGGGCCAAGTCCGGTCTGCTGGACTTTGGCGGAATATCCGGTTTCAGCTGTTCACGGCAAACACGAATCGCAATGAAGCTTAAAGATATATTCTAGCCCAATATTTCTCACATTGTGGGAATCAGGAAAGTGTAGATGACATAAAACGGGATTAACAAGTTGCAGTCTTTGTGTTTAATATTATTGATTCCACTGAATGCTGTTATTTAACCGTTAATAACTCTCACAGTATCGCCGACTGTGATGAAGAAACTAAATCGTATTTTAAAGGGCCTTGAATGAACTTACAGTGTTTTTTCTTTTGTGTGATTTTCTCAACATTTTAAGGCGAATGCAAAGATCGAATTTTTGCAGCGGCATCAGGTAGTTAATTTTTTGCATTTCTTTATGAGTCTAAGGCAGTATAGAGACAGAATAGAAACAGCGTATGATCGTTTCTACACTGAACATATCATAAGCCTTTCCTGATACAACCTAAGAATCCTGTAAAGCAAGTACATTCTTCAGTAAACAAGAATGAAACGAAGAAATCCAATGTGAAGTAGGCACTACACATATTTTCCAGATGAGATTATTTTTAGATTTTGAACACTTCGTAATTTTATGGGGCTTTAAGTTAAATATAAACACAGTGTTTAAGAACTTGCTGCAGATATCACACTGCATATTTAGGGAATATTTTCGCTTCCATTTCGCTATATATATATATGTTGATAATTTTTGTACATCCCACTTACGGCTTTATTCTGTTATTTACTGTAATTATATTCATAATTTAATTAACAATGTTTTCAGTGGCTTGCACTATGTAGCATAGCACGATAGGAGGATGAATGTGTAAGTAAACGGTCCTAGCCTAATTTGAAGTACTATACCAGCATTTTCTGGAGGAACTGGGGTAAACCAGAAAAACATAAATCTATACAGCCGATATCCAGGAGAAGATTTGAATTTGGGACTTCAAAAATATAAAGTAGGAGTGCTAACCACGCGATCGCGCTTTCTATGTGATAGGCCTATACATCTGTTTTCTGACGAATACTTTGAGACAAAATCTATAAACACAGGCATACATTTAATAATGTTTTTCATGCACGGCTCAATCAGACTGCTGTTAGTGTCTTGCTTGGCTTATTATTCGATCATGAAGATGGAGACAGTAAGTTCCTCCGAAACGTCGATGAACTTCTACAGCCCCTATCCCAGAACATAACAGTATTCTAAACCGAGAAATTTTGAGTTGAGCTTTATGTTAAGTAGCACCGTTATGCAGTAAAATGAAATTCGGCCGTCAACTATACGTAAATACCAAATTTCTTAGCAAACCATCAAATAGGTTACGGAAGGGCACATGAGGACAGGCAGCACTATCGATTATACATTCACTTTATGCGCAGTATGCAAAGACGCATATTCAAGAATGCGTAACAACTGAATAACTGTTGTGGCTTCTCTGGCACCGCTGAAGCAACAATTAATAAAGAAAGTAACTGAATTGTGTCGAGGGCAGCGAAGCTAGAATATTCGAGCGTAACCGTGAGAACTATGCAACACATGGGACACTACACGGTAAGCATGATGTATTTGCACTCCATCAAAACAGATGTTTTTCTTTCGTCCTCCACCCCCTTTTAAAAAAGAAATTCTTACAAAATTTTAGTCTCAAAACCTGAAAAGAAGATCACATCGGGAGACCTATATAAGGATGGGAGAACTGCAGTAAACTGGATCATGTAGAAATTAAGTGTGATTATGTGGACTGAACCCATTCGACTTAAGAAAAGGCCCAACATAGAATTCTTGTGAACGCCAACACGAACCTTCGGGTTCCGTAAAGGGTAGGAAATTTCTTGACTATCCGTGACCTTAGCTTCTCAAATACCATGCTCCTTACAATTCGTTAGTTATTTTGTTAGTTAGCATGCAAGAAAGAAAAGAAAGAGAGGTTATGACACTAGACTGTTACAAAAAGGGGGGACGACATACTTTGTTCTTATTAAACAGGAACTCCGCTCTGCGTATCAGTTCTCTGTTTCATTTGCATTTCATACAATCCCCCCCCCCAACATTTCTAATCAACGTCCCACTCTCCTCTTCCCTTTCACACACAACTCATACTGATAATCTAAACACAGACATGTGTAAAGACCACGACTGACATTTTAACATGAAACGGGTGACTGACACATGAATACTGGATTCCTAATTTCAATCCAAACTTGTACAGGGCCAGTGTGTTTAAACAAAGTGTACTCACAATACAGTAACAACGTCTAGGATGTTCAAATTAAATAAATGTCACGAAAATGACGGCAGACAAAATATTTTTGGCAAATTCACCTTCTGGCAGAATTTATACTACGTTACATGTACTTGCAGCCAGCGCATGGGCACTCAAAATATCACTGAGTCGTACGAGTTGATTGTGTACAAAGAAGAAACATAATTGTCTAAAACTGAAAAAAACAATATTTAATGTCACATATCAAAAATGCGCCTTGATTCCAAAATTAATTATAATTCTTAATAACAGATTTTTATATCTTCTCCAATTTCCGTGTTTTATACAAATTATGCTTGTATCGCCAGAGGGAAAATTTTATTAAAGCAGTATAAAATAGGGGCATAGAGCATGCGCCGGTATAACATGTGACGACTGCAGAATTCCTGTTGAAAAGGCCACTTGAGAGATTAGTAATAGCCTTAGGATGGAGGAAAATTGTGAAATGAAACTCAGGAGTTACAGGCTGTGAAGTACGTGAACTGAGCGAAGACGCTTTTTGTGCTGATGGAGATGGGTTATGAAGCCTTGTGATTAGACTTGCTGGTGGGATGGATGTAGCATGAATCTTCCTGGCCATAAAACACCTCAATCTCTCACATTTTCTACAACCAAACAAGATCGCAGCAACTGCGTGAAATGTCTGTATTTCAGTTAATTGGCAATATCTAGA